GCACATCGCAAACACCAAAGCCCAGTACCACGGAACGACCCCTTGCCCCACAAACCCTGAACCCCTAAACCGAAACCCAAACCCCAAACCCAAAAGCACGAATCTACCTACCTACCTACCAAGCCTGTACCTACGGAGCTATACCTCGCTACCTTCCCACCGACTTGTCTACCTACCCACGTAAAGGATTCAAACCACCCTGACCGCTAAAGCCCCAAACCCTGAAACCCTAGGCCGGAAGCTCTGAATTCTTAAAGCCGCCTTGTAGCCGGCCCCAAAACCTAAACCTTCAAACTCTAAAGCCCCAAACCCTGAAACCCTAAAGGCTGACCTCTAAAGCCCCAAACCCTGAAACCCTGGCCCCCAAACACAAAATTGAAACTCTAAAGCCCCAATCCCTGAACCCCTAAGCATTGAATCCCGAAACTTGCAGAAGCAGAAACCCCAAACCACAAAGGCTCAACCCACGTTGAACTTAAGGACGCTGAAACCCCGCTGACTTCTAACACCCCAAACCCTGAACCCTGAAGCTCTCACAGCTTAAAGCGCGAAACCCTGAAACCCTAGACCCTGAAGCCGGGCTTTGCGGATTTGATTGGGAGGTCTATCTAGGGGTTTCGGGATTTGGAGGTGTAGGCTCTCTGCTTAGCTTCGAGGCTTTCTGGGAAAGGTGATGTTTGGGTTCAGGGTTTAGGGGTCTAGACGTCATTGGGGATTCCGGGTTTAGGGATTTGGGGCTCTAAGGGTTTTGGGCTTTGACGTTGTTGATTGATAGGTTTTCGGGGGTTGGGGTTACGTTCATAAACAATGAAGAACCAAATCTGAATAAGTGGGCCGAGCAGGGGTTTCCTGGCTTTGATTCAGCGGTTGCTAGAAACCCGTCCCTAAGTCTCGAATAACCAAAATCCTGAACCCCAGGCCCAATCCTGAACCCTAAAACCCTTAACTGCAGACTCGAAGACTGCAGACTGCAGCTTCAACATTCAATAAGAAGGCCTTTTACCATAACCCAACTACCGAATAACTTTGAGAGCTTAAGGGCTTTGCTTATAATTTTGTAACAGCAGTTTGAGGTTGTTTGTTCGGCTCAAACACAGCCCCACAGGCCCCCAATTCGGAATTTAGGTTTCCCAAGACCGGGGCGCGCACGCGCACGCGTGCCGGGCGCGCAAGCGTGCGCGTGCAGTAAAACACTATTCGATAATCTGCTTGCAACATTAATTTACGGATGTGCGCGCGAAGGGCGTGCAGGCGTACGCGCGACGGGTGCGCAGGAGTACGCGTGGCGGGCGCTAAAACGACCCTAAACCATAAACCCTAAACGCAGGAGTACGCACGCCGGGCGTGCAGGCGGGTGCGCGCCGGGCGCGCGCCGGGCGCGCAACGAGCGCGCGCCGGGCGCGCAACGAGCGCGCGCCGGGCGCGCAGCGGGCGCGCGCCGGGCGCGCAACAAGCGCGCGCCGGGCGCGCAGCGAGCGCGCAGGTGTATATGTGGATTGAATGCTTCATTGAAATAAAATGAAATAAACATTCAGCCGTTGCGCATAATAATATACATACATTATTCTCTAGTCTGCTTGCAACGTTTACGGGTATGCGCGCCGGGCGTTGAGGCGAACGCGCGCCGGGCGCGCAATCTTGTAGTGGTATACCGGCCGGATGCTTAGGGTTTAGGGTTTATGCAAACATGAGCATGCTTAAAGGACAGACTTTCCCTTTCGAGCCTCCAAACACAATGTCGATCTTGCCAGCGAATTTGGCATGAAGAAGGCCTGACCTCAGGTCGACGAGTTTAGGGTTTAGGTCCAGCAATAGGCACGTCAAGCAATTTGTTGAGCAAGTGACACGTTTTTTCCTCGCCATTGCTGGTTTATTGTGAGACTGTGTATCCGTACATTAGTCCATCTAAGTTTTTGTGAGACTGCGTCTACGTACAGTCCGTCTATACGTTGAGGACTCTTCCATGCCTGTGAGGCAGAAACCAAAGCTGATCTCTGTACGTGTCCGGCATGCCCAGCAAAACCATTGCCAGGAACCTCACAGCGAACTGCCAGCCGTCTAGCATCCGTCACTGGAATTCGCTCAAACTCAAACGAGGATGCCAGAATGTCCTCGCAGAGCCTCACCATAGTTCCTCGATCAGGCAAAGCCCAATCCCAGCCGGGAGGCTGCTCAACCAAGCCCCGCAATCTCTCTGCATCTACCGGGTTCACTTCCATTTGCAACTTTCCTTGGAGTACGTTGCGTTGTCGAACCATGCTTACTTTCTGTGTTGTTGGAATCCGTTCCTGTACACCTGCTTCCACAATATCACCTGCAGAGGATCCGCGTCTGTGGTGCCTGGTTTCGAACTGCTGTAGCTCTCTTCGTAGTTGCCGATCGGTCAAAGCCCGCTCCATTTGCCATCCTGTTGCCAAGTTCATCATGACACATGCCAACACCAGGTCGATGCAGATTAGATTGAATTCCTCTCTCGTAAACATGTTTCCTCCCATCTGCGTAGTGGCATCGGCAGCGGATCCGTCGCTATAATCCGAATAATAAGTTCCATCATCATCTGAATCAGTTCCTTCAGGTCCATGAAGCCTGCCAAAATCCGTTCGATCCATTGCTGCACTTCCGTGGCAGTACGTCGAACTGGGGCACTTCTTTCCTAGTCTTGAGTTTGACGATCTGCGTGCATGGGCATGTCAATAACACTGCCTTGTTTGCATCAAGACTTGTGCAATCGCCTCAGGGTACACTCGCTCAGACATGGCGCTAGTGGCGCCAAGAAAAACGGTTCGATCTCGTTGAATCTTGAGCTGAAAAACTGCTGCAGTCCAACATGTTGAGCTTGGAAGCCACCCACGGTGCAGCCGTCAAGTCTTGGAGTGCCGGGTGGCTTGGGGCCGGGGCTCTTCGAGGATCGCGATGCGCAGACTGTCTCAGCCTGGTGGCCGCCGACAGACTGAAAGTGAGCAGAGGGATACTGATGCCATGCATGACTTTCCTTCTCTTCCTTCCCTTCCCGCCTCCCTCACATCACTTCTTGCTGCCTGCTCATTCCTCGCACCTACAGTCACACCCTCATCTTGATCATTCCTTCTTCCTTGCTTCGTTAATTATTTTCGCTGTGTCTCTCTCTCTCTCTCTCTGCATCTGTCTTTGAGGGTCCGGCTCACCCCTGCTCGGGGTTCATCCTCACATATCCTCACCCCTGTTCGGGGTTCATCCACACCCCTGCATGGGGTTCTCACGACCCTGTTCGGGGTCCAGGCTCACCCCTTTTCGGGGTTCATCGGTACGCCCCTGTGCGGGGCTCTAACGACCCCTGTTCGGGGTCCAAGCTCAGGTTCTCACGACCCCTGTTCGGGGTTCATCGATACGCCCCTGTGTGGGGCTCTAACGACCCCTGTTCGGGGTCCAAGCTCACCCCTCTTATTCGGTGTTCATCCCGCAGCCCCTTCGGGCTTGGTGCGGGTACGCCCCTGTACGGGGCTCCGACGGGGTCCAAGCTCACCCCCCCCTATTCGGGGTTCATGCCCCGACCCACTCAGGCCTTGGCGCGGGTACGCCCCTGTACGGGGCTCCGAAGAGCCCTGGTGTGGCCACCTGACATCCTGACAGGGCGTGCGCGAATGCCTACAACTACTTTTGCCTGCTACCTTTTAAGGTTTAGGGTTGAGGGTTAGTTTAGGGTTTCGGGTTTAGGATTTAGGGTTCAGGGTTTAGGGGTTTAGGGGTTAAGGGTTTAGGGGTTTTAAACCTCTTTCCTCATCAATGCCTCGTTACCTACATGCCCGCCTACCTAGCTATCTATCTACCTACCGACCTGCAAGCCTGCCGACGCACCTACACCTACAAGTACCTTCCCTCCTGCCTATCTACTTATCCATACCTACTTGCCTACCTAACTATACCTCTCTACCTACCTGTGTGGTTAGGGGGTTGGGTGGGTTCAGAGTTTAGGGTTCAGGGTTTAAGGCATGGGCTGGACGTTACGAAAGTTCAGATTCCCCTCATGTTTAATCATGAACCTGCTACTTTTCAAGTCGTTGTGAATCGTACAAACAGCTGACTTTAGGGTTTCAGAACACAAAATCTCAAGATTTTTGTTTCCGTTGAGCCACAAGAACACCAAGTTACATTTGTTTGGTTTGCTCGGCACAAACGTATTTTCAAAATTTTTGGCAAATTTAATTTCCATGTGAACTACAAAACTTGGGACAGGCAATTATTGATTTTTCGATGTATATGTTTTCACATTTCGATCAGACCAAGTTTCAGGCATTGGTTTTTCTATTGAGCCACAAGCACACATCTTTTATACATGTCCAGCATCTCGCTTCTTCCATATAGAGCCACAAGAACACAGTTTTTCAGGTATGCATCTCCATTTGGAAGAGACCAAGTTTTCAGGTTTTGTTTTTCCATTGAGCCGCAAGAACACAAGTTTTCACATGTCCAGCATGTCTTCCATTGAGCCACAAGAACACATATGTCTTGCTACATTCCATGTCACATCAACATAATAAGTCCTAGGACCCGGTTCCATAATGGAAAGGACCCGGTTAGCCCCGGACTGGCATCTATGCCCTAGGACTTTTGCAGCTCCATGCTCAGCTGCTCCTCATACTTGCAGGTTCATGGGTAGTTGTAAGTGGGGTTCTAAGTCCCCTAGTATGGGTTGTAAGCATAGTTACCCTACGTATTATAACTACCCATGAACCTCCAAGTACCCTTGCACTATCAAGAAGGGTAATGCAGGTCCCTGATGACCAGAATCTTAGAATGGGGTTCGGGGGCCAAACCTATGAGGGGACACTATTTCCATTTGTTCAGACCTATTCTGCTGTGCATTCATACGTACATACCGACATATACAATGGTATGTATGTATGTATGTATGAATGCAGGTAGGCGTGTAGGTGTGTGTATATATATATGTGTGTGTATATATATATACACATAAACATAGCCATATACATGCAATAGACATATGTTGGCGGTGCTCCCGCCTCGGGCTCCCCCATTTGGGTATAGCTTTCTGCTCTCGGAATCTCCTCGTCGAGGTTTAGGGCGGCCATGGTGTCTTTTGTTGTTCAGACTTGCAGCGGGTTGTGGAGGACTACTGACAAGTCCTAGATACCTTTATGGGAGTTTCCGGCAATTAAGGGGGTACCTTATGTTGGGGTCCTTATAATAAGATCCTAGTATTTAGGGTACTATATTAGGGTCCCCTATTTTTGGGTAACTCCCTTATCAGGTCGCAGGAAAATGAGGTGTCGGTTTAAGGCTGGACTTCGGCTTGGATTTCGGCTTAGATGATACAACCTCGGGTCGCAACGGACCTTGTGGCAGTGCAGATCCTGGAAGCCTGAAAAACCCCACCCCGGCCAAGCCCTAAACTCCAGCAGACCTAGACACCCCGATTGTTGTCGCACTTCTATGAACGAGATGTTTATGCTGAGCCTGAGCACCTGCACCTGCAATGAATGTTCGACCACCTACTCCCAGGCCTGCAAAGTGGTGATGGTAGCGAAACCTCCAACAACTCTGCAAAACACCACACAGAGCTTCGCTTGCGAAACCTCGCAGCGCAAATTGAGATCTAGAGTGTGTATAGACTTGAAACCTCTCACCGCGTCCCCGGTCAGCCATGGTGAGGACCGGGCAACTGGCTGAATTTTGGGAAGCCAGGGTGAAGCTGCTTAGACAAACCCTAAACCCGACAGGAACAAAATTCTAAGACCCGAAACCGGGGGAACCGGCAAGCCTCATGTTGAGCAGATACTGCTGTCCCTGTAGCCCGAACCACAGCAGCAATCTTCGAAAAGCTTCGTAAGAAAGTTCTGCGACATATCAGAACACAGACAGAACCCAGCAGCACTGATGGTGAGAATACCAGGAGCGGGCCTCCTCGGAGCCCATCCGGAACACCTTCACCTAGGTAGCTTGTTTGGCATGTCGGTTAAAGTGGGCTTGGGGTGCCTGTTGTCATTCGAAGGCTGACAAAGTGCCTGACGAGGGCACTCAAGGCCTGAATGACATGCGCAAGCCCAAGCAGGATGCCTGGAAATGGGAGTTTCCGAAAATAGGGGACCCTAATACAGTATCCTAGCTAGTAGTACCCATATCATAAGGACCCCAAAGTAAGGTACCCCCTAATTCTCGGAAACTCCCATATTTTTCAGCAAATCCGAAGCCCGGAAGTTAAAAACAAACCAGAAGCCCCAATCCTAAAACCCTAAACTTACCTTTGGTTAGTAGGGAATGGAAGAATGGTAGTACTTGTAGTTAGGGTTTAGGGTTTGGGGTTTAGGGAAAAATGGTAGTAATACTAGTTATAAATGTACCCCATTCTTCCATTCCCTACTAACGAAAGGTAATTAAACCCTCAACCACCTCAACTCCCAAGCCCTCAAAGCTCGGTGCATGTTGGAACTCGAACATCCCAAGCCCTAATTTTCGGGCTCTGGTAAGGTTCGTTGTGGGTGTCGGGAGTTTAGGGTTTAGGGTTTAGGGGTTTAGGGTTTTGGGGTTTAGGGTTTAGGGGTTTAGGGTTTAGGGTTTAGTGTCGGGAGTTTAGTGTCGGGAGTTTAGGATTCCTCCAGGTTTAACGTCCAGGGTTCTTTGAAGCTGTGGGGTTTGGGCTTTGGGGCGGGCTCTTTTTGAACTCACAAACCTGAGCACAGGGCAGAAAAGAAGGGCACGCCGCGCTGCTCGTGAAAATGCCTGAACAGCTGTTGTGAACAAGGTTGTTAGATCCTAAACCCTGCTTCTTGGCGAACCGACAGCCGCATTTCTGGGTTCTTTAACCCCCTAAATGCAGAACCCCAAACCCCACGCAAACTTCCTGCACACCTGACCCCTAAAGCCTATGGACAACAATCTGATTTTGCTTATTCCTTGCTCAGAAAAGAACTCCAATCCTTCTTGCTCGGTTACGTTATTGAGCATGGAAACAGAGTTCCGGGCTTCAAGCGCTTCCTTTTGGAAGAGCTGCGGGAAGTATGTTCAAATTCAGGCACTCATGAAGACTAGGGATACTGGGATTAGAATTCAAGGTGTAGGGCCGCAGACAACATCCAGCACATTCTTCATGCATCATCTGGCTTCGAGGTTCAATCATGACAGTCTTCATCCGACCCTTGCCCCGAAGCAGCTTCATGATTCGAACAGGTGGGGCATATCATACTGCTGATGGACAAAATCCTGCATGACCCTAAGGACTCTAAACTATGGGAACTATGGTATATTCCTTATATAAAGGGTAATGCAGGATTTTGTCCATCAACAGTAGCATAGTTCGGCAGGGACCCCCCAAACTAACATCCCCGAAGACGGATCTCCGAAACACCCTCATCAAGTTGAAGAAGCCCTTGCGCATCAGAACCCTTACTTCGAGCATCAATTCTGACGGTCATAACTTATCATAACCACCGAAATATTCCCCAAAACCCTTAACCTTTCTCTTGAACCCCCTAAGCTAGAACCCCCAAGCACTTCACTAGGCTCCGAAACCTGGAACCCAGAAAAAGCCGAGAGAAGGAGCCGGAAACTCCAAAGCCCTAAATACCCTCAGCCCGCGTAAGGCCCCACGTCATCACCGTATAGCCGCGATGTTTAGGGTTTAGGGTTTAGGATTTAGGGTTTAGGGTTTAGGATTTAGGGTTTAGGGTTTAGGGTTTAATTGGATATAGTGAGAGACGAACATGCCTTACAAAAACCTGTCCCAACTATTCAACTATTGAGGCCCCGAAAGTAACGCCCCATTTTGGCTTCGGCGCATCCGCACGCCCTCGAGGCAAGTAAAGGCTTCACGGAGTTTCCTTTGGAGATGTGGCGAAGCCATCAGGGAAAGAATCGACTGTAGCAGCAGTACGGGACTTAGGGTTCCTTTAGGGGTTCCGAAAATGAATGGCTTCGGTTCAGGAATTGGGTTTTTGGATTTGATTGAGCGTCTTGAATTTGTAGGATTTCGGTTCGGTGATGGCAGAACAGTATGTGCGATCAAGCCACATGTGCTCTTCAGATACATCGTTGCATCAGCGCAATTCGGAAGTCAAGAGCCGTACACCCTATACCCTAAACCTTGACAAAGTGATCCTCGTCATTTTAGGTGCCGCCGTCAATAGCCGTAGGAAGAACACCGCAGCAGTAGCAACATACTACTCAGGATGCTACTAGTTGAAGCGACAGCCATTTCACCAGAGTTGACCACTTGACAGTTGTGAAAAGTTCAAGGCAAGCTGCGCCTTGCTCATCTCCGCGAACGATCCTGAGCAAAACAACGACCACTTGCCGAATGCAGGTCGCTGATCTGACCAGCACCATCTGACTTGTGCAAAGCCACTGCGAGCCTACCTCAGAGGTCTGCCGAGTATCTCGTTGAGTGCCGTGGTCAACTTGACCGTCATCCCTAAAGCCATGAACACTGCGAACTGCCAGACCAGCCAGCTTCGAAATGTTTGCCACCATTACTACGATTGACAATGACTACCCACGTCTCCAGCCTCATGTCCTGAGATCGAGCCTGGTACCTGAGAGCATAGCTACTTGCCAGAATCAGAAGAGGTGAGGAACTTGCAGCCCGGATGCCTGCGAGGTTGTAGAAATGGACGGTGTCCTCTCCTTGTCTAAGAGGGTTTAGTGGTTTAGGGTTTTTAAGGCTTTTAGGGTTAGGGTTTAGGGTTTTATAGTTTGGGGAGTTTGGCACTGGGTTTGGAAGGCCTTGGGGCCAGCCCATCGACACAGCTGGATGACAGGGTCAAGAAACAAAAAGAGATCTGCCTAGCTGACCACTGATAGCGGAGGAGCTAAGGAGCCAGGGGTGATGATCATCCCTACTTCATAAGGAGCTAAAGAGCCAAGGGAACCCCAAAACCATACCTCTTATACTTAAAGGATCATGGGGCTTAGTAAGTAGGGTTATAAGTAGCTTATAATTAGGATAACCCCATTAGGGAACCCCAAAACCATAGCTCAGCTAGACACTGAACTCCAGGACATGAAGGAAAATCAGCCTTGCAAGGGCAGCAGCGGCGACAACGACGACAGTAGAAGCAACATCGAGCACGACAATGACGAAGCAGCAATAATCACCATGCCAACTTTAATACAGCTAATTACACTACACTACATAACATCAGCTGATATGACAGGTATAACTTAAATACAACCCCGACTGCAACCACCAAGACCAAAACCATTGCTGCCGCCAGCAAAAAACAAGAACTGCACGATGGTAGAAGTATTGCAAAGCACTGTGGCGAAACAGACGTCGAGCATCAAACAAGAGCTATACCATTTTCGAGTCAACGGCTGCTGAGCAAGCGCAATAGGTCACCGGAATTCCAAGCAGTGACGATGACCCTCGTGGTGATATAGTCGCCACCGATTTCAAAAGAGCCAGACGAGCAGTTGCCAGCAACATAGCAGACAGCAGCACTTACGGCAACATGGGTGGTGGGTAGATACTACTAAGCTATGGTTTTGGGGTCCCTTGGCTCTTTAGCTCCTTATGAAGTAGGGATTATCATCAACCCTGGCTCCTTAGCTCCTCCACTATCAGTGGTTAGACTATCCTCGCAACCACGGCCATCAGCTTTATCGCAGCCGTGGAGGTGATGGTGGTGGTCGCTGTGTCGCGGTAATTGCGTTTGTTCGTGCTAGTTGAGATTCGCGGCGGTTGAACGGGCAGAAATGGGACTACACAGTTAAAGATTGCAAGATCAACAGTGGGGTCTGGTATGAACCCCTGTATGGTATACGAACCTCAAAGCCTTCGAAAATGGCCGGAAGCGTGGCAAGGATCTTTGCTGCGCATCCGCTCTGTCGGAGGTCGGCTCAGCCTCCACTGAAGGACTCTGGTGGCGGAGGGACCCGGAGTTCAGGGATTTAGGGTTTGTCTTAGGGTTCAGGGTTTTGGGGTTTAGGGTGTTAGGGTTTGGGGCTTTAGGGTTTTAGGGTTTAGCGTTTAGGGTTTTACTTCTCTGCCTTCCGACGTTCTGGAGCTTCTTGGATGTTGAGTTTGTCGGGACGATGAGGGCCAAGAGGGCAAGGGACGAGAAGAGGCAGGCATAATATAGGGGCCTTAATAGTTAGAATAGGGTTTGGGGCCCAATATAGTATAGATTATGATAAGGAACCACCAAAATAGTATATGTAATTATTAAGGCCCCTATATTAGACACAGGAAGAGACGCCCACGGCCTCGGAGTCACAAGGTGAACGAGAAGGACTCAACAACTCGAAGCGACAGACGCCGAGAGAAGACTACCTGCTTGTCGGGTATCATGGGGAACTAAAGGTTAACGTCTTTGGTTACATAGGGACTATACTACCCAACAAAGGTTCAAGGTTACCTACTCGACTACCAGGACTATAAACAAGAGTGGAATGCTCTTAAGATCGAGTCCAAACGAGCTCAAGGCAGAAGTCTATGACTCCTGGAGGGTGCAAGGGCTTCAGCATTCCGTTTCTTTTTAGATCGTGATCTTCTTTCTTCGCCTGACTGCAGGAAAACGGAGTTCCCGAAAGGTCCAAGTATCAAGATGGTATATACTTAGACTTAGACCCGCAAAATAAGTTAGCAGAACCTTTGCCCATTTTGGGTAATAATACCACCAGTCAACCCATTAGACGATTATTCCTATACTCCCCCCTACACCTCACCAACTATATCACTACTACTTCCCCATTACAAAACCAGTATAGGAATAACCGATTACCTCATCCATATAAGAGGAATATTCCTATACTCCCTACTACAATCACCCAAATATCACCACTACTTCCCCATTACCAAGACCAGTATAGGAATAACCAATTACCCCATCCATATTCCCTAAGGTGGTATTATCATCCCGAAATGGGCAAAGGTTCTCTCATAGATTTTACTAGGTTTAGGGTTAAAGGTTGTAGTCATAATAGAATTACGTTCCATAAACTCTTATGAAATGTGATTACATTATACTTATGCTTTTACCTCACGTTTCCTTTTATCATTGAAACTCACTTCTTTTCGTTTGTCGTTGTATGCTTTCATGCTATCTAAACATTCACAACACGTAACAGTGGTTCTACACTGCATTAAATACTTACCCGTTTTACAATGATAATATCTTTTGAAATGCACTAAATTCTTCAACTTCTTACATCTAACACATTGCCGATCACAATGAGGAGGATGACGCTCGGCAGAGCCTCGCGAGCATTCGCGACCCTCGGTATTAAAATCCATTGTTATTTTATCAACATATATTGTCATATTGTATTATTTTACAATATTTATCATAATTCGTTAATTGATAAACCTTGTTTCAAACTAATTAACCATTACCATGTTCTTTTGACATGCTTATGGAAGGCACACTGGGGAAATGGGAGAAATGCTGTCACGAAAGATCGCGAGCCTCTGGCGAGGCGTATGTGGGGCGCTGTCATTCTATAAGTAAATCACTCTTTACAACATTATTTTAGCAGTTCTTTCAGCTGATAAAACTCAAACAACAATTTAAATCGCTTCTTATATTCTTCATAATGATAATGATCCTCTAGTTCATCTATAATAGCACTTAATCTGGCGTTATACATTCTGATATTTCTTCTTTCCGCCAGCCAATCTGTTTTATTTTCGTTGTTTTCTTTCTTCGGAAACAAACAATCCATATTTATATTATTATACAATTTTCTTATCAATTTTAAACTTTAATTCTTCAATCTCTACTTCCAATCGTTCTATGTCTTTCTTAATACAATCAATGTCTGTCTCTGCAATTTCTATTCTCTGTTCGCATTCTTCAGGTGTTATACCGTGAGTTCCAAATCCAGTATCACATATTTCAACGCTTCCTGTTTGATTATCATTTTTGAATATGTGGTTTTCATCGGGTGATACATGTCGTCCCGTTGCTCCAAATTTCATATTATGCCTGTCTTCCACAATGTTCGTTGTTATTATGTTATTTTCTTTGACCGTTTTTGTTTCCTTATGATAAGATTGTCTTTTACACCTACAAGGGATACAAGATACACCTTTAGAACTAATGAAAAACCCTTTCTTCTTATAGCTTTCATCGCTTTTATCGCTCATTTATATTATTTGCATTTTTTTTCATTTTTTATATAAAAGCAGAATGCCTTAAGAAAATCCAACAAACTACGACAACACATTCTATGTCTTGGAGTTTTTAATATTTCATCAAGTTTCTCTATCTCATTTATTATTTCTATATACCGATCCATATATATATTTAAATGATATAATTTCTAACTAGTATTAATGTTAGAAGATATTCCTAAAGTAGAACCTATAGACATACCCAAATACAATTATAAGAATAGTAAATACGAGATGATGCCAAGTCTACCAGCAAGAATGTTATGCGTTGCTTCTTCAACAGGTGGTAAATCTGTTTTAATACAAAACCTAATTTTAAAGATTTACCGAGGTTCTTTTGAGAGAATATACATCTTTAGCCCTAGTGTGCATGTAGATGACACATGGAGAGCAGTCAAGAAATATATTACTGACGTAATGAAAGTGGATACGGAAAAGGAAAAAGTATATTATGAAGAATACGATCCAATTGCATTAAAGCATATAATAGAAACGCAACACAAGGTAATAGACTTCCAGAAGAAGAATAAACAAAAGGAATTATTCAGTATTTTAGTAGTGGTGGACGACTTTGCCGATGATCCTAAATTTGTAAGATACTCCAATATCTTGCATGGATTGTTCACACGCGGAAGACATAATGCCATCTCATGCATTTTATCGACACAAAAATATAATGTCCTTGCCCCTATAATAAGACTTAATGCCTCGGCACTTTTCATATTCAGACTGAAGAACATGAACGAGGTAAATAGTTTCCTAGAAGAGAATAGTGCCCTTGTAGACAAGCGAACACTTTATGACATGTATCAACAAGCGGTGAACTTTGCGCCTTACTCGTTCTTTTACATAAACACGAATGCTAAAGATGTTAATGACATGTTTTATATTAATTTTGAACAGCGTTTTGAAATAGGTGACCAATAATATTATTTCCTAAAACATTATTAGTCACGGCTTCGCCCTGAGGATGCTAAAGCATCGTCACTATCACTCTTATTTTTCTTTAACTTATTTAATTCCTTTTTCAGTTTATCTATTTCACTTATTGTTGTCTGTAAAGCACTCCATAAAATTGGCACACACGTTGTGTAATCAAATTTTAAATAACCATCTTTTCCTTCTTTTACTACATTCTGCCATTCGTCGGGCATCTTCTTCGTTTCCATAAAAAAATTAGCAATAAATCCTACACAAGATTTACCTTGTTGTCTGTCATCAATAAAATGATATGTTTTCGGCTTAATATATTTTACTAATTCTACTGCTTCTTTACTATTTACTTCCTTTATATCTTTCTTTAATCTTTTATCCGATGAAGGAATTAACGACCCTGTATATGAAAGGTCGCCATAAACATCAACACCTGTTGTTGTTGCATCTAATGTTGATAAGTTGTTATTACTTAATCTTATCCATCCGTTGTCATCTGGGTTATTTATTAATACTCGTTGCTGTCCTGTTATATCATCATGTGTTATTTCTAGGTTACCTAATAAAGTAACTTTCGCTTCGGTTAATGATAACTCCGGTGTGCTTCCTATAGTTCCAATGATAAAATTAATTGCTCTATCGGTGTCTCCATTTCTTATATCTAAATCATAATCACTACCATTTAATGTTTCTTTAATTGCTGACGAATGTTGAAAATAGACACCACCCCACACATCTAAATCTGCTTCTGCTGTTATTTTTCCTATACTGTTGAAAGTCTGAATATTTGTAACTGCTCTGTTAATTGTAATTCCGTTAGTGTCGGTTAGTTGTAATGCTATAGTTCCTGTTGTTGGATCGGTTGCTCTGTTTGGTTGGAATGAGAAATTTATTTCGTCATTTGTTATTAAGTTTAATGAATTGTTAGCGTCCGCTCTTCTGTATATTTTGCCATTATTCCATATCAATATTTCATTGTTAAAAGTAGTAGCGCCGTTAAACCTTACAGTAGAACTAAAATTAGAATTGCCACCATTAACGTTAAGAACATCTACAACGGCATTGGCTCCTATCCCTAATTTATTACATCTCACTGCGTTAGAATTTTTCATATTCAAAAACAACTGTTGTGATGTGTCATTGGTATTATAAGCATCAATACTAAAACCTCTAAATCTTAACTTCCCACTGTTATTAGCAATTGCTACAACATTACTGGCGTCTGTTGTTGGTTTGTAAATTGTAAGTCCTGAATTATTAGAAATATTGAAATTCTCAGCCTCATAATTGACAGTGTCTTTAAAATAAGTTGGTTTAAATACTGTTGTTCCTCCTGTTGCATTATTACATTCAATAAATGTATTGGTGTCCGTATCTGTTGATGCTCCTAACATTAACCTCAGTGCTTCTTGGTCTGTTTTTAAATCCAATGATATGTTTGATTTTGTAGCATTGCTGTATCTTTCTATGCTTGTGTTCCCATCAGTTAGTTCAATACTGCCACCAAGATGAATACTATTAGTTAGACTAATTCCGTCTGCTGATAAATTGGGTAACGATAGATCATTAGTAATATTAACATTTCCTGATGGATTTAAATCCAAGTCTACGACACTGTCATCACTTGTAGCATTAGTCATAATCTTATTTCCTTGTAAAGATACATAATTTGTAGCGTTTTTAAATATTGATACAACTTTATCCCCTCCGCCAAACTGATTACTAAATAATAATCCCGTAGTCGGTGATATATTTGTTGTTTCGTTTTTCAATGTTAATCCACTATGAATAATAGTA